ACCCTTAAGATCTTCAACTGTTAACCTACCACTGCCACTAACCCATATCCCTAGGCACTGCACCTACGTATCTTTTAAACACATCCAGAGATGGTGACTCAGTCACTTCCCTGGGCAGCCTGTTCCTGTGCTTGACAGCCTTTTTGGTGAAGAAATTTTTTCTAATATCCAACCAAACCTCTCCTGGTACAACTTGAGGCCATTTGCTCTTGTCCTGTTTCTTGTTACTTGAGAGAAGAGAACAACACCCTCCATGCTACAACCTCCTTTCAGGTAGTTATAGAGTGACAAAGTCTCCCCTGAGCCTCCTTTACTCCAGGCTAAACAACCCTCGGCTGTTCCTCATCAGACCTGTGCTCCAGACCCTTCACCAGCTTTGTTGCCCTTCTCTGGACCCGCTCCAGCACCACAGTGTATTCCCTGTAGTGAGGAGCCGAAAACTGAACATAGTCTTCGAGGTGCAGCCTCACCAGAGCTAAGTACAAAGGAAGGGTTTACTGAGTAGCTTACGCATGAAATATGGTAAGCTCAGAGCTCCACGGTGTTAAAATTTTCTGCTCTGCACTTTGGTTTGCACAACAGTTGTGGAAGGTGAGAATTTATCAGGTATGCACTTTGAGGATTTAAAATCATGATACTGTCACGAAGGTTTTCTCATGTCATGATTAAACCTTTCTCTAACTACTAATGACACTGTAGTGATTTTATCACTAACAGATGTTAGGACATCATTTAAAATCACTAGGTCTTAGAATAAGTTGAGATGTTAATTGTACTTGGTAATTTATCATTTATTAAGACTTACCATTTAGTGGAAGAAACGTATCAAACACTTAGATTTATTTTTTTTATGTGTCAGCAAATAGTTTTCTGCTATTGATACTTTGTACTATAGAAACAGTTGAATTTGTGTGTATTATAGATATATAGTTTTATACGGTTTTTATACATAAAAATGTATTTCTAAACTTGCATATTGTATATATGATAAACACACTATACACATGCTCACCTATATAGTTAACAACCAGATGGCACAGTACAGAACTGTTTTTAAAGAAATATCAAAGTATGTGTGCATATATAAGCAAATACATGAAGATATTGTTTATGTCATAAATAGCTGCTCTGTAGATGGAGCTGAAGAATTAGCGACACTAGCTATAACACATCCTGACCCTGTGTCTCTATACTGATGTATCATTTGCCGTGTTTAGCAATCACAGAATAGTTTGGGTTGGAAAGGTCCTTCGAAGCTCCTCTGGTCCAACCCCCCTGCAGTGAGCAGGGACGTCTTCAGCTACATCAGGTTGCTCAGAACCACATCCAGTATGGCCTTAAATGTCTCCAGGGATGGCGCATCCACCACCTCTTTGGAGAACCTGTGCCAGGATTTTATCACCCTCATTGTAAAGAATTTCTTCCTCATGTCCAGCCTGAATCTCCCCTCTTTTAATTTTAAACCATCACCCCTCGTCCTGTCACAGCATGATCTTGAACATCTTGTGATTGATGCAGATCAAGTAGAATTAAATTATATTTCTATCCTCTGTTAAAGACAGTACAAATTTATCTATATGCGTGCCACAGTGATGAAAATATAAAATACTAATTTTTTTCTCTGCTATAACATCAAAGCAAATCCTTTCTCGAGAAAAATCCCCAGCTTGCCTTTATTTAATGCCATAACCCAATTACCTTCCCTATCTCTTTCTCCCCTTCCAATCACTTATTTACTCTTTTTGTATTTTGAAGATGATCAACATTTGGGTTTACACTATTTATTTCCTGCAACAACAAACCAAGCAAGACTAGAAGCTTGGCTTTGTTTGTATTATTTGCATGTACAAAGTTACTCAGGAATCCATGTCTCTGCAGGTTTGGAGCCTCCTTTAAATTCAGTTCTCACTATTTCATATTTTCAGGATTTTACATCTTGGGAATGCAGTCATGATACCTTGTTGAACCCTAAGATGTTTGTTACCTCATTCCAGTGAATTTTTTCTCTGAGACTGACATTATCTGATATTGTTGCTTAGGGGGTACCTTACAAAAGTGGAATACAGCAATAATCCCCTGCAGTTTTAATGCCTTAGATTTTCTACCTTTTTTTTTTTTTTTTTTAAAGCAAGACTTTCCAGCTTTAGCTTAGAGGAATGGTAAGGCAAAACTGGCATTGCATTCGCAGACAAAGAACTATGATTTCATTCTTGTTCATTTCAAATGGACTACAAAATACTGTCCAAATTGGGCGCCATGCCAAGTTTGCCATTAACTTTTCCCATAAAATATGATTAAGGACCTTAACAAGCATTTAGTAATTAAATGAAGTGCTTTGGAAATTTATATGCTGTCCACAGTTTGTCATGTTCTGTAAAATACTGAAGAAATTCTTATGAAAAGCAATGAAAATAAAGCACTTGAGAAACATCTGGGAGTGTTATCTGATGGGGGAGAGGGGGAGATAGTTTCATTTGTAACGGGATGTTTTGATATTTAAAATTAATGTTGTGTGTAGTTGATTTTTGTTTGTTCTTTAGGTTAATGAATAATTGACCGATTTAATGGAGTTATTCCTATAATTGTACATCCCATTCTTGTGTCCATGCTGCTTTATTTTGTACCCTGAGTTGATTATTTTCTGTGTACTCCATTAATGTGTGTACTGTTCTATATTTGGTTTCTGGTTTCATTTAATGCAGCTGAATTTGCTTAAATAACAATCCAAAGAGAGAGAATGGGAGTGCTGAACAGATTTTCCTGTGCCATGGTAGGAAAAAACAGTATAGGCTTTCAGGCTGATAATGGTTCAATGGATGGCAGGGTGATGCTTTGTTTTTTAGCTCTGCTAACAAAGAAAAAGGTTGGACTGCTGCTGCTGAGGAAGCTTTTATGTGCTGTGGCCATTCAAAGTGATTTATGAGTAATTTTCTCTGCAAACCTCTTTTCCTTCCAATAGTCTCCAGCTTCCTCTGACATAAGAGTACATTCTGGATCATTCAAGAGGCTTAATGGAATAACAGAACTAGATTAGCTTTGCTGTGCTTTCTCAGGGGATAAACTCAAACCTTAAATTTGGGAGAAGATGCTTTTCAAAACTGCAAAGCTATAGGAAAGAAAATCTACTGGGATTAAAGGTTCTTGGATTTCTTTTTATCAGCTCATTTATTCCAAATTATTGAAGAATAAAAGGCTATTCAGATCTGCAGTGTTCACCCTTGCCCTTCAAGTATTAACAACATGAATAACTTCTCTCACAGATAAAACCATAAAAAAGGTGGGAGGGCAAATTTTATCTGTGCATGTTATACGAATCAATGTCTTAATGACTGGAGGGTCCAGGTGATTCTGTCATTTGAGAGTTAAGATGCAAGGATGCATTCTTTCCAGTGTTCAGTGCATTTCTCTTCCTGTTTTATTGCAACTGAAATTTGGTTACCACACTCCATAGTTCCTGCCTAGGTCAGCTGTGATCTTTAGTCAGGTCTCCTTGTGCACAGGCAGTGGAGCTGGATCAGTGGAACCTTGAGGTTTCCACTGGGGAATCTGTGTTTTTTTTTTTCTTTTTTTTTTTCTTGCATGTTCCTTAGTTCAGTGGGGTTTCCTCATTTAGTTTTATTTTAACCTTGTTCACAACTGTTGCAGTGGTAGCTGTTGCCTGGTTCTCACTGACTGCCTCATCTAAGCAGGGAAGCCTTTTCAGTTGCTCCAGCAGATTTTAGGAGCTTTTCAACCAGCAGAATGAATTTTGTGATCAGAGAGCCACAGAATGGTTTAGCTTGGAAAGGATCTTTAAAGATCATCTGGTCCAACCCTGATGCCATAGGTAGGGGCAATTTCTGTTTTAATTAAGTGATTCTGCAGAGGCAGAGAAATTGGTCTTATCATAGAAAAATGTAAGATACTTCCTCTGTCTATGAGATGTTTAATGATAGCTCATCTGTGGTGAGCAATTAATTTGTTTATAAGGTAGAAAGAAGAAAAGTCATCTAGGGTTTCTGAGTTGAAGGAGACAGAAAAGCACTGTGCTGCCTGTGTGCTCTTTGCTAAAGCTCTTCCTTTCTGGTGTTGAGTAAGAGCTTTCACTGTTCTAGGGGAGGATAGCATGGAAGCCCTCTGGTCAGAATGTTAGCCTCCTTTGTGCCACACAGAAATTAGCCAACCTTTGTCTTTTAAAACAGCACATTGCATTTGTTCATTTTATAGAAACTTCTTTCTAGTACTGTTCATTGATAAGTGAAAGGTTATAGAAGGAACTGGGAGAATGTGTGTTGATGAACTTTAGTACACAATAGATAAACCCAATACAGTAAGCATGGTTTCTCTATTGCATTTGTGTTCTGCAGGTATATAACAGTTTTCTTCAGCTTTTCCTTCATGCAGTAATTCATTTTCAAAGAAATTGTAAAGAAAGGCAGTTGTTTTACTTGCTCATGCATGCATGACTGAAGGAATTGCAAATGCCAGTTTGCTTGTATGATGCATATTTGCCCCTTGTAGGGTTTTTGCTTTTTTGTTTCTTTTTATATTGTGAGCTTGTGCATATTTTCTCTCTCTGTGATGTGGTTCAGGATTGAGATTCTGGTTTCATATTATTACAATTAAATACAGCTAATATAAAAAAAGTTTATAATGCATTTAGCTGAGGCATTGTTTATGTAAGGCCAAGTTTCCCAAAGTCACTATTAAATCTAGAGAGTTGCCACAAACCTTTTCATGGTGAAAATCTCTTTCAGATCTGGTTTTTCTACTAACTAGACATTAAACTTTTGCACTGTACTGTCAGATGGACAGCTTTTTGTCTCCAGAACAAAAAAATATTTATTACTTTAAAAGAAAGAGGGATAATGGCTATTTACCTATATCTTATCGCTTGACCCTCTGTTAGCATGAAATATAAAAAAAATTAAATGTTAGGATGGTGTCGTAACACTCACATGCATTTTGTTCAGGAGTTTAAGCAACTAACAGGTTTTGCCTTATTATGCTTGTTCTTTCAGGGCATTCTACCTGGATAAGTCAAACTTGCCTCCAAATTCAACATCTAAAGCAGCTTATATAGATAAGGTAAATAACAATGTTAAGTGTCTAATTAAACTTTGCATGTTACACACTGTGTAATCCTTCTCTGAGGCTTTCTTAATTCCATTGAAAAACTGAATTATTTAAAGTGGGGATGGGGCATGGAAAGGAGGAGCTCTCTTGCAATAATTTGTCCCACCTGTGTTTTTAAGGGTATATTGTGCCATGTGGTTCTGTATCAAAAAGGCTGGAGGGTATCAGCGTGTTTGAGAAGAGGAGCCATAGCTTTCATTTCCACTGTGCTTTCAGGGCAGTGCAATTGCTCCAGGAGCATGCAGGGGGTGGAAAGGTAGGGTGGGGGGAGAGCAGGTGCAGGTGGAAATTCTTTGTTCTGAAAACTGGAAGCGCTGTTCCAAATGAAATACTCCTTCAGCATCCTGCTCAGATGGCTTTGTTCTGAACCTCCTCATTTAGGCTTTCTTCAAATGCCTTCATCTTTCTTTAAACCTCTGTGACTGAGAGATCCCAGGGGCTCTGAAAATTCATTTAATGCTCTCTCCTATTGTTGGAGAGTTAATGCCCATATTGCAGCCCAGTAGCAGAGGGGAAAGAAGTTCCTCAGGTCTTGCCTACACTGACTTGGAAGTGATTGAGCTACTGTGCTTGAGGAATACAGTTATCATCATCTGATCCGCATGACAGGCTAAAATTTTATGTTGGTATCATTCAGCATGGGTGTTAAAAGGCTGATAATTCCCTTTTCCTGGATCCATGCTGGGCTGCCTGGGAGGGAAGGAGGACATCCACGGAGGATGCCCCATCCCTGAAAGTGTCCGAGGACTTCTTTATTAGGTGGATCATTTCTTTTCTGTACAGTAATGCTGAGTTTATTTTAAGTCCAGCTACAAAGTTAACTGTTCTTGGTTTGTAGTACGTTTTTGTCACTTCTGTTAATTTATTTTTTCCATGTTGTTAGTCAGGATTAGGAACAAGATATTCGCATAAATAAATGACAGTGTGTCTTATTACAAGCTGATTTTTCAGTGAGTTAATTAACTAGTCTTGGCATCCCTCCTGTATATGCTTATGGGTGTAGGTTGCCTCTTCATGGCTTCCCTTCTTTGGGGAAGTGCTTTGGCAGTACCTTTAACGGAAATGGCAGTCTCTTGAGGTGAAAACACCTCTGTAGGCAGGACTGGGAATGAAACAGGGATGGCAAGAATTTAAAAGTTTGAAAAAGATGTCATAGGTTATGTTACAGAAGACTGCTCTGTATCTATGTTACGGGATTTGGCTTTCACTCTCTCAGCCAGCCCTGCTGTCCCATCTGCATGTGATGACGTACTCTAAAACAGCATTTCATGTGCTTTCAGAAGCAAGTATTGAAATTTTTCTCTTCCTCTTGCAGTTGATGAGGCCTCTCAATTGCTTGGATGAACTTTACCGACTCATAGGGTCCTTCATCCGATCCAAGCGCACTGCTGCCTGTGCATACACTGCATGCAGTGCTTCTGGAGTTGGACTTCTTTCAGTGTCATCCGAACTCTGTAGCAGGCTTGGAGCTTGTCACATCATTATGTGCAACAGTGGAGTTCACCGGTATGGCAATTTCTTTTCCTCCCTTTGTTTCAGTCAGTTATTCAGTCATTGCGGGTTGGAGACTGCTGCTTTTTAGTTAATAGTCTTACACTAAATATCTAATATCTTAGACTGAATAGCTAACACACTTGGAAGATCTGTGGTGTATTTGTAGTGATTAACAGAAAAGACCAATGATTTTGCCTTGTGGAGTTGTAATGGATTATTCCTGTTCAAGTCAGGAAAAGACAGAAACCTTAATTGCTAAAGCACAGAAAGGAAGGTTTCCTATGTGAATAACACCTTCTATATTAAACTCTTAATACAGGCAAGAAATTATGAAATTTGTATTTACATGTATGCTAGGGGAAGTTGTAATACAGTTTGTTTCAAGAAAAAAATGAAACAGAAGAGAGATGCATTTTTGCAGTTGTACCTCATGGTAACTAGAAGTTCAGTCTATAGATTGAAAAACTGGTTCTATAGGCTGAATTATCAAATTATCAGAAACTGAACTGAGCTGTAATCAACTGATCTTTGTCATCAATGATAAGAGACTTTAATAGACAAATAGAGATAGACCATAGCGTCATAGAGCTCTCTAGTACTTAATGATATCCATCAAATGCAGCCATATGTTTATGTTCCAGCTGGGAAGATAACAGTTCTTTTTGGTGCATTATACCAAAAAATTGTAAAGATTACAATTAGGGGGAAAACACGCCAACAAATACCCAACATAACCAGGAAACTGATGCTAAATATCTGATCTTTTTATAACAATTCCAAACTGTAGATTATAGGTAGCATTATCTTAAAAATGGGCTCTGTAGTTCCTGATTTATGCAAATCCTTATTTTAGCCAGTTTGGTTACCAGTACATTGTGTTAGACCAATCATTGCTTTCATCTCATTTTAAGTAATGTCCTTTTTGAAATATAAAAAAGGAAAAAAAAAAGGCAAGCAACATAGCTGCAATGCAGATTATCAGGCATGAAAAGCAGGGAACTCCAGATATAGCCAACACAATTAAGGTGTGTAAAAGCACTGCTTGCCATTTCTCTTAACAGAGTTTGAAACAGACTATTTGTATTACTCCTCATCAGTGATATCACTGTATATAATATGCTGTATACTGTACTTCATTTTAGGCAGTACCAGAAAGAGGCTGTATTATTTAACACTAGTCACTATATAAGATGAAGATGGGAATACTGTGTAGCATGGACTGTCATGAAGTTGTCATTTCAGAAGACCACGAAACTATGCAGCTTTTTATTTGGGTTTCAGTAGCATGTCTTATGTGTTCAGAAAAGACTTTGGGCTTAATTCTGCCTTTTTTTTTTCTTTTTTGTAAAGCTGAAAAAGAATACCTCTGGGTTTCATCATGATTTTATGGATTAAGTTCTGAATTGGCCAGTGAATTTGTGCCAAACATTCTTACAGTTTAGGAATAAAGTCAGAGCAATTTTAACAGCCCCAGTAAACTACCACCCACAGTGTGTGGGTCACAAATTATTCAGAATAATTTGGTGACTGAATAAATGGTGGTGTGCTTGATTCTGAATGTGAGCTGATCTTACCTGAGAATAAATTATTCATCAAATTTCTGCTCAAAACTAGGGCTAATTCAAAGGTATAAACTATTAAATGTCTCTTTAAGTGTATTTAAAAACCATAAAATACTAGAAAACCAGCATATTGGATTTCAAGACATTTCATTATGACCAGTGGGAATGGTATTTAAACGTTATGTGTGGGATTCCCTCTGCATGGTAAAGGATTCAAGATCACCTGTTTATATAAAGCAAAGGTGCAAACCACTTTTCTCCAAAGCATGACTAGTTCTGCTTTAAAGTGAGTCCATTTGAGGTTTTGTGCAAGGTACTGTTAATTCACTTGTACATTAATATTGCCTTTGTGGCTACCATCGCTTCAGAGAGAGAAACATCACCTCTTGGCATTATCAGAGAAATTTTAAGATAGGCCCTTCAGGAGAAAGGAATGCATTACTTGAGATTTTATAGGTACTCAAAGAGGTTTTGCCCAGAATTTCTAAAAGTTCAGAAGAAAAGTCATGTATTTAAAGACTAGGAAGGGTCAATTTTTTTGAAAGGGTCTATTTTTTTTAGGCAGGGCTATTATTTTTGGAGTGGTAAAAGTTGAGGAAATTTTTTTAACAGTTTCCTGAAGTTACTGTTGTGCATACAACTGGATGAAGAAGTTTCTTTCCTTGGAATTTGAAGTCATACAAAATGACTTTGCATGCTGTTTTTTTTTCTTGCTGGCCTCCCAGTGGCACACCTCTACAGTCCCAGCACTGAGTAGGTTCCACTTTCTGGCATTCTGAATTTGCTTTTGCCTAGCTAGAAAGGTTGTTCTGACTCCAGCCAATAGGCTTGCTGGGTGAATTTTGTTCCCAACATTTCTACTGCTAAATTCTAATGTGCTTTTGTGAACCTACACCCCTTGCTCCTTTGCAGACTGAAACTGTCTTGCAGCACCATGAAATCCTGGGATGAGGACAGAAGAAGGATGAATAAGATGCTGGATGTGATCGAGTCCCATAGACATACATTATTTTGCTTGTTGCCTGCAATCTTGAAGGCTTCTTTCTTCTGTTTTTTAAATACTATTTAATAGGGCAGAAGATCTTGTGAAATAGTGCTCTTTAAGTTGTAAGTTAGTTCCTTAGAGTTCAAGCTACTGATTTTCAGTAAAAGAGGGTATTTATCTCTGGCTCTATTCAGCAGTTTATTTGTCCTCCTGTGTTCTTAGGGACTAACTGCTGTGAAGTGCTTGATTTTGATCAGCTGCAGAAATCCACATTTTGGAGGCCTAGACCAATTACTCATGACTGTTTTTTAACACTGTGCTGCAGATATTAAATGAGTTGAAAACTAGTATTATCTACAGATGCTACTAGGGAAGCTGATGGGGGAAAGATGTAAATTGTCCTTGCAGGTTAATCTTTGAAGTATATATTCTTCACTTATCACCCTTGCCAGCTTGAAAATGAAGAATAACCAACTCAGGGCAAGGTTTCTGTATGCTTCCTTTAAAAAAAGCCCTCATTTTACCCTAATTTCTGTGATTGGTCTGTAATGGGGGAAGAGTACAGAGTGCTCTGCTGGTCAGCATCTTTCTTTTGTTCCTGGGAAATGGGAACTGAGCAAACCGTATAATCTGTCAGAATTTAGATATATTTAATAGACTTTAACCAAAAATATACATATGAACCTTCCCTCACTCAATTTATCTGTCTCTTAGAGAACTGACTGCAGAGCCCTTTTTATGTTTTCTCAACTTAGGTATTTTATATATTTATTTACTTATATAAAATAGAATATATATATATAAAATATATATATATAATATTTATAATGGATTTACTAGGGCTGGTCTGCCACCCCTCCTTCTAACCAGAACTAAATCCCAGATAGCCTGGGAGGGAGGTGCTGGGTGGCAGTCCAGTGGGGAAGGGGCCAAGACCGATGAAACAGCAGCTTTGTCTGCATTGACAGTGATTGCTGATCTCTGTATCAGCAGTGTCTTGGTTTCTGACTTCACTGTGATACATATTAAATTGCTTTTTACACTTCACTAGGTTAAAACAGCTTGACAGAGTTCATATTTCCATCCCAGTATCCAAGATAATGCTGGGGATTTTGAATTGGTGGTGATTGCTTTGCTTTGATTTTTATTGTGACAATATGTTTACCAATTTACATTAGAGCCTGAAACCCTGTATCTATTTCAGACAGCAGTTCTTCTCAAATGTATTTCAATCACTAGAAAAACAAGGTTGGGGGAAAAGTCCCTTTAACGTTAAGTCTGTTTAACCTTCACTGTCCTAAGTGATGTGCAAATACTACAAACTCCCCTTGGATTATCATAAATGAATATGACTTGTTGATCAACATCAGGAAGAGAGTACTAAATCAGTCCAAGAAATCAATAGTTTGCATTTCTGTTTTCCCTTTTTTATCATCCATAATTATGTTTCTGCCTGCCAGTCAGCTGTCACCCTGTAAACAATGCTCTGCTTTTTTTACTTGTATTTGTTCTGTTAGAAGTTGCAGTCACTCTGTACAGATGTAGGTGATGAAAGGCACTTCTGAATTTTATTGAATCATGATGTTAGCTTCTGCTTGAGGGAGACTGTACTGCACAGACATGTCCTAGTCTCTCTTTCCATGCCAAAATGAAATTAGGTGCAGCAGCTGCAGAAGTCTATTCAGGGACCATAGGCCTTTCAGGCTCAAAGGAATCATTTAGAGCATCCAAATGAAACAAATCCCAAGTTTATTTAAAATTTTGCATTTCCTGGAGGATCAAGAGAAGAGAAGTATTCTGTGAATTAAAAAAAACCCAAAACTCACTGTCTTATTTTCTTTTCTGAATTTTAATTTCCCCTCTAGAAAGTCTCTCCTTAGTGTTACCATCCTTCAAGCAGCGGGGTTCTGGCTGGCAGACACTCAGCTGAATGATGAGGCAGGTTTTGCCAAGGGTTGATTATGCTGTCTCCTGTAGCTGGCACAGCTCCTGCAATCCAGCTAAACCTGCTCCATCTTCCGCATAGCAAAGCAGAGTGATTCCATAAGCTGTCTGTCATGGCCAGTTGCCTTTCTGTGAATCAAATTAAACAAGGTGAAGAATAGGTACTCTGAATTTACATTTTAGATATTCTATCATAGGAATTCTTCCTTTTAGATTATTTTAGAAAATTTTCCGTCAGGAATTTTGTCCTGAACTCAATGACTCTATGTTACAAACCAAAAGTCTCCTTGAAGTTTTGCAGCTACATTTACGCTGGCATATTAGCTCCACAGTAGGAAGGCTTCCTGGGATCAATGGCACTACTTTCAGGAGACAGGTCAGCACAGGATGAAAGACTAGTCCTTGCTCCTTTCCAGCCATCTGCTCTAAACTGTGCTTTTACTCCTTCAACCTTCCCATTTAATCAAGATTCCCTCCTGGTTTTTTAAATGGCAGTTTTATGTCTGTCTGTAATTGGTGTATTTTTCTGATACTTTGCCTACTAAGACACAAACTTTCCTTTTTGTAAAATAATTTAGGATAGTAGAGCATTTTGTTCTGTGCTGGTTACGATTTGGAAATGGTTATGTCACTGTCAAATGTATGAGAATTTGTCTTAAGACAAACAAGACATTTCGCACTAATAGACTGTTTCTACAGTGATGATAATTTTGATCTGTACTTGCCTTTCATAGTTAATCTGGTACATTTTTGCTTTGTTATCTCTGCATGTGAAGGACTATAGTCTTAAAGTTCTTCTGCATGTTTCAATTTCTGAGTCACTTTCATGTGAAATGCAATCTGAAAATGGAGGGAAGTGCATAAAATGCACTGAAACAGGTAAGATGGATCTAAGTTGCTACTAATACGGATTTCAAGGTGTTCTTTTTTTTTTCCAATTTGAACTCCTTTTAACGTTATGGATATTTAGTAGCAGGGTTGACACACAACTTGATCACTGTCTTCTGTAGAATCATTCTGTCATGCTTCAGTTCGTACAGTATTGCCGTATCTGCAGTCCAGGACTTTGGAGAATCCAGTTTTTCCTTACAAAAACTGCTACATTACAACAAAAAATTAATAGGTCCTCTTGAACTGTACAAAAGTAAAAACTTGTCCAGATTTTCTTTAATTTTTGAGGTGTAAAGTGTGAATAACCTGAACTATTACAGGACAGGAAGTAAACCGCAATTTTCCATCAGATTTACCTGCTTGCTTATGTGGAAAGAAGCCTTTAATGTGAAAGACTGTCCACGCGCAGGAAGAGATAATGGCCAAACATGGGCTTTCAGTTGACTTTAGATTTTTTTTTGTTTGTTTTTGCAAGTATGAGTGAAATGAGCAAACAAAAGGCATGGGATACTTTGAATCTTTTGGATCCATTTCTGTGTGGTACAGTAATTACTTTTTGAAGCATGGTTTATGATTACTGAACCATCATAATGGAATAAATACAGTTCATGTGTAAAGCAATGGCTTTCTGTATGTTGGCAAAAATAACAAAGGTTTTGGATTAACCTTCAGTGGATGGGTTCAGTCCAAGGCTGATTTAAAGCAGCGGTCTTGCCACACTGGGAGCATCTCAGCTTCACAAAGTGACTCAGTCTAAGGCCCATTTCTCCCTGTGAGATGAAATTCTATTTAGCAGTTTCAGTATACAGGTACAGAGAATGCAAGCTTGAACTTTACTTGCATGGAGACATATTCCCACAATAAGAACAGCTTAGAAATAGTGGGAGGGTCTTGAGTTAGGCCTACCTGTACTTATTATGCTGGGTTTTTTTATAGTCCTGAAAAACATTTCCCCTCATTTTTAGATTTATCATGGCTTATTTTCTTTTTTGGGGTTACTGTTCCAAATTGGTGCATATTACCCAGCCATCACTAGTAATTATGGAGAAATACCCCCCAAAAATGTTTACCCCAAAGTGATTTACTTTAAAACTGAAGTTTTTAATTGTTGCATACACTGGTGTAAATAGCAGCTGCTGTATAAGCATTAATTTAAATGACAGCAGATATGAATACTTAACCACCTTTTTAACCAATTATACTATTAAATGTAGGTATGGTTAGCTTATGATGTATGGAAAGAAAAGTAATTAGTAACAATGGCATTAAATTACATGTTGATTAGAAGCTTTAAATTTTCATTAGATTAAGCATAGATGCATCCTTTTTATGTGTTGTTTTTTTTTCTTCCCTTTCACATAGTTAGAACATAATTCATTTTGGCATCTCTGATGGTGGTAACTAGTAAGCCAGTTTGTTTCCACTCATAATTTCTATTCAGGGCATTTTTCCACAGGATGTTTTGATGCATCTTTGGATGTAGGATGGCTGGAATCCTAAGTGAAACCTGAAAATGAATTGAATGATTTAGATTCATTTTACTCTGGTAACACAGATAGACAGTTTGCCAAATGGCAGCTCTGTAGGTAGTGTACATGAACTCATATTATTTTTCTTTTCAGGTGGCATCAAACAAGCTGTCATGAAATAATTTGTTTCTTAGAAAATTTCAATCTGTTTTACCCTTTTACAGCTCCATTTTTCATTGTACATGTGTGTCTACCCAGTCGATTTGCAGCCCTTTAGTAAAAATCACACTAAATCAGAAACAAATGGGCTGTTGGTGACAGAAGATGGTTTAACTTCTTTTGTTCAGGATGGTCTGATCCAGAAGATGTTTGAAAGTTTGTATTTAGTCTTCACATCAATACTGTCATGACTGATGGGAGACTGGGAATAGCAGGCAAGGGCTAGGAGCAGCTGTAGCCCCTTCTGTTTCTTGGAAACCAAATGGGTGAAATGAAGAATTCTCAGCCCAGTTGTGCTGGGAAAGCCAAACGTCTGTGCTGCCTTGCTGCTGTAATCTGTCAAGGGAGGCAATTTGTGATTATAACTGGCATAAATTCTGAGATTATGAATTTGGATCTTTTGTTTTTCTGGCATAAAAGAAGGGATGAGAGGAGAAGAGAGGGAATGAAAATTGATCTTGGTTTGTTTGCACTGTAAAATACACAGATTTGGGATTTATGCTTCCTGTAACAGAATGTTAAGAACATTAAAGGAGGTTTTTTCCTAATATGTTCCATGTTTGGTTGTCTAGGTTGATTGCATCCAAGTGACCAGAAGCTTTCAGTGGTCGGAACTGCTTCCAAATTGCTTTGCGAACGTTAATACCACCTGCTTATCAGCTCTCAAAATGCAGGATTATTACATATTGTGCATATTTGCTGACAGTCTTTTATATTGAACCTTGCTCAAACCACCAGAACAGTCTTATTATATGAGGAATTTCCAGCTTTCATATTGTTTCATAAAATTGTAGAGGTTGTGTTGGTTTAAACCTGCATTTGCTTGATCTCCCTATGCTTGGCAGCCCTATTGCTGAGGTACTTCCAGTTATGATATTGTTGCCATCTGATGTTTTATGTGTGCCTTTGTTTCTTTCACAGCTGTTTTGCAGGGTAGCTTGATTTGGGGTAACAGATATGTATATTCAGATTCAAAACCATATTTGAAGAACTAGGAGAAAGCACCAGCATGTAAATGCATGTTTATTAGTGAGTCAGTTCAGCATAGCTCCATGAAAGGTTTCTATAATCAGTTTTATTTCACTGACTCAGTATTCAACAAAAATGAAGCTATTTGAGTGGTGTTGGTTTCAGTATTTAGAAAGTAGTAACTTTATTTCATAGTCACATGACAAAAGCCATAA